CTCTCTCTCTCTCTCTCTCTCTCTCTCTCTCTCTCCTGTATCACTCACTCATAGAGCCAGTGCTCACACGCTCTTTGAATGAACTTTTTTGTTGAATGAAAACCTATTTTATTTGAGTTTTATTTTTCATGAATTGAATCGCAAACTATAATTATAAATATAAAGCCTTTTATTTATTTGCATTTATTTAATGATATGAATTGAACTGTTTTTATGGCGATTCAGGCGATCCAATCAGAGATAGAGAACGTCGGCCGCCGTTTTGTGAATGATATTAAAGATAACCATAAGTTGGGAAGCATTGGAAGTGTTGGATCAGCGAAGTTGACCACTTCTTTGATGAATGAGGAGAAACGTTGGCATACGGTTTGGTTGCGATCATTGGAGTACTTAATGATTCTGGAAGAGGGACCCCATTGTCCTCAACATTACTTGAGTGGTGTCGACGAACAGTTGCCATCAAAACGCCATAAGAATAACGTGGGAATCGTTTCACCAAACGTTCGTATTCTTAATAAAAGAGTTCAGACGTCGGTTGCAATGGTTGGCGAAACGAAAAACGAATTACTCGGCGATAACTTGAATGCAAAAGTGGAGATAATCCAGAAGGACATCGGCTATTCGAGCGATGCGGACATGAGTGATGTGGTTGAGGCGCACCCGCACTCGGATGCGGCCGCCCTGTCGTCGCGATCGGTCCGCAAACTAAGACGTCGTCGTAATAAGACTCGACAGACGCGGACCAGACCCTGGAGTTTCCACTCAGACTGGACTGATTGGGACTATTATCAGACACCACTTCACGGCGATTACGTCAGCTCTGAAGACATCAACTATGAAGACGATAAGATTATTCGCAATCTCATTGAGTTCGGAGAGAATTACGAGACTTGGATTACTAATGAAGACATCGATGATCTCATTAGAGGTAACTATGATCTCATTGGCACTCATTTGCATTGCATTTGCATTTTAGGAAATTTATTCAAAAAAAAAACGCTATGAAAATAATAGAGAAAAAGGTTAACAATTATTGATTTGCATTTGAATGATGTTTGAAATATAGTGTCGACGCCATCGTCGCCACAAATACTGGCAAAAGAAACAAAACAAAGGGAATCGACGGCTGAAACTGTGGAAGAGGTGGTAACACATAGTCCGCCCCCAAAGGCAACAAAGCGGTCAGCCATGCGTTTGACATTTACCATGTTCATATACGCCACTTTGGCTATATTTGCGTTGGCACTCACTTTAACCAATTACTCGCCGCATATCCAGAAGTTATATCGCCGGCCGCCACCCATTTGAATGCTTCAAAACAAACAAACACTATATAATTGACTCCAATTTCTGTGTTTATAGTATTTCTTATCTAATAATCCTTTAGATGTCTGTATATTCTTTGGACATTAATCCGATTATTGAATGAATTATGGCTTAACTGAGAGTTTTTTTTTTGCAAAAGTGGTTAATATTTTAATTTATTTCAATAGAAAGTATAATTTGAGGCGAAAAGACACAAATCTGTGATTTTGAGAGCTCTTGAGGTTTTTATGCCAATTCACTGCCTGTTTCTGCCGTTTCTTAGTTTTTTAACTGTTTTTTTTGTATTATAAAAAGAACTTATTATTTATAAGTTTTTTGTCGATTAGCGACTGAAGTAAACCATTTTTATGGCAAAACAGAGTATTGACTCTAAAGAGAGTCAATATTGAGGTCAAGTACTCACTATTTTAACACCTCTTCTCTATTAAAAACTGAACGATTAATTAAATTCATTTCTTTATGCATTCATTTGTATTCACAAAACAGTTTTAATGCATAACAATAACAACAATATAATGAATTGATGTGTGTTTCAAACAAATGAGTGGTAAATGTTTCTTAATCTATACCAGCAATGAATGTAATGCATTGTAAATGAGTATAATATTTAGGTTAAGATTACGTTTTGTAGGCACTCTTGTAATCATATTTCATATGTATTCTAATGTTAAGCCTATTTCGATCCAATCAATGCACTGACATATTATAATACTGTATTGACTAACCCTAACAACCCTTGTAAGTGGTGGCAGATATTTAAGCGCAAACTTGTGTTTCAACTTCTTATGGTAACGCCATTAACACGATATGACAGCAAATCATATTTATGCTCACATGACATGAATTATTAGGGAATTGTATCCGAGAATCGATTCTAATTTAACACTAATTTTTCCAATTAATCGAACTTAAAGTTAGCGAAACTTAATTCAAACTTCAAATTATTATTATTTTTATGAAAAGCCCTAAAGAGTCTCCACTCTCTTTTCTAAACGCATTTTTATTTAATTTTTCTCATTATTTATAAATTCATTTTTTATTAAAAGTTTCCATAAAATCAAAATGAAAACAAAAACGAAATTCCGTTTGAATTAATGGATTGTTAATTAATTTTCCATATTTTATTACAGATAGTGTTTGAAAATAATTTTAGTTTTATTGACTAAATGACGATCATGTTTGATTATCTTATGAGTTTATTTCCAATCAATTCACTATATTTTCTATTGAAATTTATTTTGCCTTAAAATTTCCTTCAAAGCGTTTAACGCTTTTTTGCTTTCAACGAATAATTGTCTATATTTTCTATGTTTAAAACTACATCTTTGTGTCGAGTGTTTTATCTATTAATTTGTATATCATTTTTGATTTACAATATATTGTGTGCATTATTATCATAAAAAGAGAATATTTTCGATTTAATGACAATTATATATATTATTTAAAGTTCAAAACAAATATATTATGATAAAATGACAAATTATATATACATTATTTAACAAAGTTTTATATTTTTTTCATAATCTGACGATATTTTGATAAATGAAAACAAAAAATATAAGAATATGTGTTGTTTTTTATATAGCAATAATTGATTAATTTGTGCCTTTTTTCTTACAATATTATTACAATTATATAATCAATCGATATATTAAAGAGTTCTGTACTTTAATTCATATCTAGTCCGAGAATCCAATAAAAATATGAAATAAAAATTATATTAACATATATTTGTGTGTAATTTATTTTGAATTTCTTTTTACTGTTTTGTTATTATATTTTTTGGTTCAAATTGTGAATTAAATTAATTATATAATAATAATATAGTTAGAGAACAATCGTTTGCCTCAACCGTTGATTCGTTGATTGAGAACAACTTCAATGAATTACCACTAATTTTGAGGCAATTATTTTCACTTCGATAAGAGATTATTATTTTATTATTATTTTATTCTCAACATTACAATTAGATCATGAGTTAAAACAAGGTTCACACAGTAATGCTATACATTAACCACAATTCGGATATTGCGTAGAGAATAGATTAGCATTGTCTACAGATTTGATGATACGATTCTCATAAACATAACATTGTTCATACGATTAGCATTATGCACTTAGCATTGTCTTCAGAATTAGTATTAGTCCAATAGATTTAGCAGATTTAGAAGGGGGAGTTAAAAATCACTACTTCTTGAAATGCTTCTTTGTACAATCTTTTGGAAGTGCTTTTAGATAATTATCCTTAAAAATTATTATTTTTTAATTTGAGTCTTTAAACTGAGATTATATTTAATTTGGGTTTTAATTAACTTTTATTATAATTACTATTTATTATACCGTATTATAATTGGTATATATTTATTATGTCAAGACATGTGATGCACTTATATTTAGTGGTTTTCTGATTTGATCTCTTCGGTGATATAATCTCTGGTTGTTATCTATGTTTGCAATTGATTTCATGGCTTTGATGTCGCTTTCATTATCATTCTTCCAAAACTAAATACAATTATTTCTATTTAATTGTTTATTCAATATTTACTTTTGTTTTGCATTGTTTGCAATGAAATAGTAATTTCACTGCAATTATTACCAATTATTATAAACTCAAATAAAGAAACAAATTCTGTATTAGCAGTCTATGAACTATTCTTTAATTTATTTATTTTAAAAATGATTATTGTTTTTAATATTCAAATATCTTATTAATAAGTTGTTATTACTAATAGATTTAGCAGATTTAGAAGGGGGAGTTAAAAATCACTACTTCTTGAAATGCTTCTTTGTACAATCTTTTGGAAGTGCTTTTAGATAATTATCCTTAAAAATTATTATTTTTTAATTTGAGTCTAAACTGAGATTATATTTAATTTGGGTTTTAATTAACTTTTATTATAATTACTATTTATTATACCATATTATAATTGGTATATATTTATTATGTCAAGACTTGTGATGCACTTATATTTAGTGGTTTTCTGATTTGATCTCTTCGGTGATATAATCTCTGGTTGTTATCTATGTTTGCAATTGATTTCATGGCTTTGATGTCGCTTTCATTATCATTCTTCCAAAACCAAATATAATTATTTCTATTTAATTGTTTATTCAATATTTACTTTTGTTTTGCATTGTTTGCAATGAAATAGTAATTTCACTGCAATTATTACCAGTTATTATAAACTCAAATAAAGAAACAAATTCTGTATTAGCAGTCTATGAACTATTCTTTAATTTATTTATTTTAAAAATGATTATTGTTTTTAATATTCAAATATCTTATTAATAAGTTGTTATTAC